TATCACTGGGACCACTGTTACCTTCACTCTCCACATCTTCTTGAGCTCTTGTCTGAGCCCTTGGTACTTCTCCAGCTTCTTGTGTTCCTTCTTCCTGATGTTGCTGTCATTCATTATCACTATGTCTATCACTACAGTCATCTTTGTCTGCTTGTCTACCACCACTATGTCTGATTGATTAGCCATCACCAATTTGTCCGTCAGTACAAGTCCCACAGGATCTTAGCTCAGTCTGGTTGTCCTCTCTTTCAAACTCCTGTAGCGTCTTCCAGATGGCAGGAGTGTACACAATGTGTGCTGTGGGTCGCTGCTGTCCCTGATCATATTGTGTGGCCTTTTTCTGACCCGGGTGTTGTAAGTGTTTTTGTAGTGGTGGGAGGGGTACTCCACAGATGAATTGTGCCATTTTGATGACACACTGTTTAGCATTCCTGTCCTTAATAGTGTTATTCCTGTACCACACTATGATGGAGTTTGTCAGGATACTCTCCACTGTTCATCTGTAAAAGTTGCTGAGCAGTTTAGAGGGTAGTCCAAATTTTCTTAGCTTCCTTAGTAAGAAGACTCATTGTTGAGCCTTCTTGATGATCTGCCGTGTGTTATGGGTCCAGTTGAGATCCTCACTGATGTGGGTGCATTGGAGTTTGAAGGTGTTCCCCCTCTCCACCTGAGTCTCGTTGATGTATAGTGGGGCATGCTGGTCTCTCCTCATTCTCGGATCAACAAGTTCTTCTTACAGTTTTTCTCAGTTGCTTTGGTGCATTTCTCACAACAGAATTAAATTTTGCACAATAGTTAGTTCAACCTCCACAACATGTAGTCGTTTTGGCACAACCTTGTGGCAAATGCCTTTGGACATGAAGCAGTTGAGTAAGTACAAATATCTAAAGAATGGTCACTTTGGACTTGCTATTCATCACTATCTCCTTGCTTTTATCATGAATGTCACAATTATTTATACTTGTACCGGCTGAATAGTCATTATCCTTACAACTAATAGTCTTCATTTCATTGCTTGTGTCAGTGCACTCAAAATTATTGAACATCTTGTCAAACAATTTGTACACCCATTTTGAAAACCCTATTTTTAAGGAGTTTCCATGAAAATCTCCATAAATTACTTTTCTCAGGTGAACCTTATCTCACACTAATGAAAATTGGTGTGTGTTACTCTTACTTGCAACCAATGAAAAGCCTCTTCTACCCAGTCACAGGTGAATCGCGTTACAGTATACCCTACTCTACAAGTATATATATAATGTAAACCAACAGACAGGATTGGCATGAGGTGCATACTGAATCTACAAAACTGCAGAACATGGAACATCAGCCTTGTGGAAGAGGGGTGAGGATCGGTGGAGGACGAGGACAAAACCGGGTAAGAAGAGGCCAACCACATAGACACGTTCCTGA